TTTTTTTTTTTTTTTTTTTTTTTTTGTACCTATTCATTTAAATTTCTAAATTTTGTACTAAAAATAGCCTATTTAATTATAATATGTTCCATTCAATACAATTTAAAGATTCCTACCTAACCTTTCAAGTGCCCATCAAAACACAACAAGCGTATCTAACCAAGATTGCATTAGGAAGAGAGTTTTGTTTTATTTATTTATTTATTTATTTATTCATGAACATACCAAACATATTTTATAGATAATAATATTTCTAAAACAGAGCTCGATTACGAGAAATTTAAATTTCTACACGATTTAGACGTAGTAATTGAAATTATTTAAAGATTTAAGAACCTTTAAGTACGTCCCGAGTATTTTTTTACTCATTTATATTACTTTTATTTTAAAAATGATATCTGATCTTTTGTAGCTGATGTGAATGCAAATACGAGTAGTTGGATAACGAAGTTGTAGTTAGAATCTGAGTCATGTTTTGGAAAATCATATGTGGCTTAAATTTGCTCATAAAACAAGTCCTTATAGATTTTTTCTATACATGAAAATGATATCTTTCTAATATCTTTTGGCTAGGAAGATGATATCTTTCTAATATTTTGTTGGCCAAAAATTAATTTATACATCCAAATTTTAAAAGTGGCATAAATAAAAATCATAACTCATAATTTTATCAATTAAATATTGAACTTTTATAAATGTATTAATTTTTCATCTTTCCTAGTAGATATTATTATTATTTTTTGAACTTTTATCTTTCATCTCTCAATTACACATCCTTATAAGGTTTGAATTAACCAAAATTTTAATTTTAAAAAAATAGCACATGGATAATTCTTAAAATAAAAAACTAATAAATATATCAATATTCATCATTATTTGACCGATGTTTTCATTATTATTTGACCAGCACTTTCACGCTTGTCTGCTGACATGTCATGATATGTTGAATATTTTTTTTTAGTGGTTTTTCTTATTTATCCTATCATTAAGATTGCTCTCATTCGGATGTGGGTCTCGATTCATTCATGTACGACTCCTGTCTCAGGTATCACACGTTGCTTGTACGTGTATTTTCATTCGATTGCGGCTCTAGCTAAATTTCCCATACTCTAGGCCAAGTCTTACGGCTCAACCTTTCCTTTACTCCAGGCCAAGGTCCTTCAAATGCAATGTCACATATGATTACATAATCTTAGTTCTTAACAACATGGCTCACAGGCTTCTACATAGATCAAGTTTTTTGTCGAGATGATTTTCGATCCTTCGTTTGGTCAAAACTGGCTAAAACTACTCAACTAGAGCTTATTGAGTGATATTAGCACTTACTAAACCTTTTTGAAACATCATAACGTTTATCATGGCATGTTGATGTAATTTGGAGCTTATCAAAGCATTACAATGTCTATTAAGACATATCAACTCATACAGTTATTAACCAAGAACTTTCGAGTCTCATCGATACTTCTTGATGTCATCCCGAGCCTTGAAATATCATTGATCTTTGTTGCTCACTCGAGCACGCTTGTCAAGAACTAATCCTATGAGAATTTTTATCATTGAGACATCTCCATTATTTCTCCACCCAAAAATTATTGAGACATGAACCCTCCCATGTACATGTCGAGTCATTTCTACAAATCATGCGAGATAACAACAATATATACCAACCTTCGATTCAAGGGACGAGACACAATATTAGCACACTTGTGTCGCTGGACACTATGCTTTGAAACTCATTTTCAAAGGAAGACACTCAAACACTTATCTTACAACACTCACACACACCATGACACACACATGTACTATGAAGTATCCCATCTAGGCAATAGAGTCTAGAAGTTGTGGAGAACTAACACCTATGACCATGGACGTTTACTAAATATGTCATGGGACTATGTTAGTATGTATTGAGCTTATGTTATAAGTGAAGAAAGCGTCCTAAAGATTAATATAAAAACAATTTTATCAATTTAATCGAATGTGGGTCAATTGTTAAAAAATTTTGCACATATAAATTAACGTTTTTTAGATAGAAACTGACCGATGGTATAAAGAGTTACGAATTATATCGCTATACTCAACAACAATTATGGTGGGTTTGAGATGAACTTGAATGATTGGTTTCCTCATTCCATTGTGTTTTTATAGGCCAGGGTTGAGGGACACGTTATTTGAATCGCATACACTTTATAAATATCTTCGAGTCTTGAATGTTGACAACCGTAAAGGGGGGTGTGTCACAACAATTGCACAGTTTCATTCCACTTTGATGGTTCGAAACCAGTGAGAAAATACATTTTCTGACAGTTTTAGCTTGACTTTTCAGCATATCTAGCTTAGGTCTAATACACTCAAAGCCTTTTCTATCAGTTTTGACTCATGGGGAGGCGTTTAAGTTAGTATTACTACTTTTCAAGCTAAGTTTAGATTATTTTATGCAAATCAGGTGAGTCATTTTTTATGGTAGAATCTTAAGTTATATGATTGCGGGACTCTTTAAGTAGAATTAGATTTGGAGCGTAGTAATTTCGGCTTAAATTGCTTTACTATTGGCTTGGTTGAATAAATTGTATGAAGTATGAACGGTGCATGCTCTGTGGCCTCTCCATGTGTCGTACTTTGTGACTGTTTGACATGGATTATGTTATATGTAATGTCATGAGACGTTATTTACCTCTATATGTCATGTCATCCACACTATGTTAGCATGCTTGCTTGAGGTATAGGAAAAACGGTTAAGCCACATATGATTCATGAAAGTTATGTTAGGAAAGAAACGAAGCATGACATCATCATACGTATATACTATGATTTAAAGCTATGGGAACCTCAGCATTTTATAAGCCATGTGCATTGGAATACTTTTTCGTTATGATTAGTATGGACGTGTATACATTATGCACACTATGATATTATGCGTACTCCTTTTCATTCGGGCTTTTTCACCAGTGTGAATGTACACTGGCTGAAGGCGTACGTTTACCAGCCCGCCAAAAAATCTATGCACACGTGTGTGAATCGCGTGTTTAAAACGAACGAAAGAGATAAAAGTTTGATTCGAGTAAAAGTTACAAATAATTGAAGGTTGTGGAAATATGAGTCTTTTGTTGATCCTAATTGAGAGAAAAAAAATTATATATATTTGAATTTTCAACGAGAAAAGTAAGTCGCCAAACTTTCTCCAATTTTCCAATTACCTCATTAATAATATAATTTTGTTCTTTAGGAAACAACAAAATATTAATAGAATATTTAAATCATAATTGTTTTTTTTTTTTTTTTTTTTTGTAATTATTCATTTAAATTTCTAAATTTTGTACCAAAAATAGTCTATTTAATTATAATATTTTCCATTCAATACAATTTAAAGATTCCTACCTAACCTTTCAAGTGCCCATCAAAAGACGTGTATCTAACCAAGATTGCATTAGGAAGGGAGTTTTGTTTTATTTATTTATTTATTTATTTATTTATTTATTTATTCATGAACATAC